TCAGTAAGTTTATAGGTCACTGCTATGGAGACAAAGAGGAGAGACCTGTATTACTGTGCTAGATATATATAGCGCTGCGCTAAATATAACATTCTGGACAGAGTTGTAGTAAATAAGTGTTTTGTGCAAGATGGGCTGTGTGAGGTCTAGGTGTAAGTATGTAAGACCTAGACTATATAGTTTACCTCTTTCAGTGATATGTTCAATACCACCATCAGTTAGTTGTAGTGGAAAAGTTCCCGTTTCAAAGTTCGTGAGTAAATGACATATTTTGGTGTGCATGTAGTTAACTGTCGCACTTCCATATATAAAAAATCGGAGAGTATGGAGAGTAGCTGATGGGCACACGATAAAGGATACAATAGACCTCTTCTCAAGTACGATTCTCTCAGTTAGGAAAAGTCCCTAGTCTGAGAGAACTGAACTGATTCTTTATTTGTGTCTTCATTAGACTCATGAGTTACTTGTTTCTCTCACACGCGGAGTCTCGGTATAGCCAATCGATTCTAACGCTAATATTTCTGATGACTCCAATATCAGAAATATTCCAATCCTAATTCTAAAACTCAATATTTGATGATCATGGGTTTTGGATTTTGGATTGGCTTTTTGATAATCTGGTCCCTAGATGCTACAGAGTGAGTATATGTCTAAGTTAGACTGTGGTGATTTTACTGTGCGAACGGTACTACGTACGATTTGTTGTAGCAGTTGGTTGGGTGGGTGGAACCGGAGGGTATGTAAATTTGTTTTTATTCACATGTTAGCTACATTCATCAGCCACATGACCTGGGCGTGAGCATATGACACAGGTACCAGAAGACATGGCTTGAGTACATGCACGAGCGTTGTGACCTTCCTGACCGCAGCGGCCACAACCTTTAGGAAAGAGTGAGAAAGTGTGTGTTGTGATTTAACATACATATTTCCGTGTTCGTGTTAGACGATTTTGATTGTTACGTTGAGAATTGAGATCACTTATCGTCTGGACAAGGACAGCAATAGTAGGACTATGTGTAGATGAAGTGACGGCATTAGCTGTTGACATTTGCTGGGTCGTTTTGGTATGCCATGTTTCCAGGTAAGTACAAAGATCACCAATATTAACCGGTGAGCGGTCACGAATTTGCATCTGGTAGATGTTTAGGAGTTGATTACGATCAGCTTAGCCGAGTTCACCGATAAATATTTTTTTGGACACTAGTGTTCAAGATGGTACCATGAACGGTGGCAGCAGCAACCGCAGTTTCACATGTCAAAGACCATTCGCGAATTTCTGAAGGACCATTTGCGAACATCTGAAGGACCATTCACGAAGAGATGTGGTGGGTCCTCGGTGCATAGTAGTCAGGTTGGCAGCATCAACTATCTCGTAGATGAGATTAGATTGATGTTTTAATTTAGATTTTAGAGAAGCAAATAGAATCCACAAATGTTCATTCCTGATTGTCTTGGCGAGAGCTAGGCGAAGAGCAGGATCTATTGACAAGATGAGAATTGTTTTTGCTTTCTGATATTTACCATTAGCTCGTGTCTGCGTAATGAAAGTTCCAATGACAATCATGTAGTGTTGAAAATCAGT